CCCCATCACTTTCTAATGGTGCGCCCCTAAATAAAAATATTTATACGTAGGATTCGTACCCAAAATTCCCATTGGTCAGAAATAAATAGCCTTGGATGTCTTTTAAGGCAATATCAAGTTGTATTTTGGGCGCATTATTACTGCCTTTGCTGTCTATAAACACGGTCAATAACCGTCATTCTTATATAGTATGTAATTCCTGGCCGTTTTATGAAAATTGGAACATACAATTACTTTATGGTTCCGTTTTGGATGGCCTGATCCAAACACGTGGGAATGTTGCGAGAGTTAAGAAAAGCGCGCAAAATTATGCACGAGCCGAAATTAAAGCGAGTGATTTTGCGCGCTTTTCTTAACTCTCGCAACATTCCAACGTGTTTGGATCAGGCCATCCAAACACGGAAACCATAAAGTAATTGTTTTATAAAATAACAATTTTCCGTCTTAAAATTTCACTTTAAAAACTTTCACATTAAATTTTCGTGTTTGGATGGCCTGATCCAAACACATCTTTCGACCAATCAGAGCACGCGTTATATACATGTTATTTTATAATATTTATTTTCGACATATTGGCGGAATAATAATAATAAATCCAGTATAGTAATGTATGTTATAGTAAAAATATGTCATAAAATATATATTTTAAAATGAAGTTGACTTGCTTATAATAAAAAGAAACAAATATACCACAAATCGACTTGTATTAAAAATCTACATATATCCTCACCTGCTCGATGTGTTCATTGCCAATGTGTTCCTTAATATCCTCCAACATCGACTTGAATACTTCACTTTCCCGTCTACCCTGCTTTGTCGTACTTCGTCTGCGACAATTTTCACATGAAGCCTAGTAACATTTAGTGTAAAATTTAAAAATGACAGTCAAATCTCTCTTTACTGATACCTCTACTATTAATAAATTTCGAAAACGGACCTTGATGTTTGTATGGAAAAGGTTATTCTGTGTATTGAGTTATATTATATCTAAAAATCGGACCTAATTCCAAACTCAGTTGATATAGGAAAATCATCTCCGCCCAAACATTTCGGTGTTCTGTTTTAAGACCCTTTTCCACAAGGCTCAATTGGTTGAATTAATGCTTCTGAATTTCGACGGACTATTTATTACGAAAGTCACCGAACTGTGGAATCGCATCAAAAATTCGTATATCGACCACTCCCACAAACGTCTACGACCGCACCTACATATTTTTGCATGTTTACAATTCTAATTTTGAACAGTCAATCAGGTTCTTGGTAACAATTACAATGAAACGTCGATTGGCTGTTTAAAATTGGAATTGTAAACATGCAAAAATAGGTAGGCGAGGTTGTAGACGTTTGTGGGAGTGGTCGATATACGAATTTTTCATGCAATTCCACAGTTCGGTGACTTTCGTAATAGCCAATTTCTGTAAATTATGTGCTCCATCGAATAAAATGGTTGTAAAACGTCTGTTTCTCTCGTATAAAAAGAAAAAATAGCAGCCTAAAATGCAACGAATTAAATCAAATTGGTTAGAATCAAAAGAACCTTCTTCGTTCTGTTTTACTACAGGGGTTACCAAATTATGAGCAAATACGGCGATAAATGTAGTTTTTATATGATAATTTGTGACAAAGGATACATTTCCCGTTAATCTGATGAGTATTAGGGAGTTTAAGCTTAACGTTTCCGGGAACGGCAAACGGCAGGTTCGAGCTTTCTTGGCAAAATGTTCATTGAACATTTTCGTTTCATATTTTCTTTCTTGTGCCAAAAGAATAACAATACATTGCAGTTTTAAAACAGGAAGTTCATGTACTATTTATTGCCTGATACCGTAAAATTTTTCTCTGCCTTGCCGTTTGACGTATAACGCGAAGTTTAAACTCTCTAATGGTGAATGTTTACACGTGAAAAATGCAAAATTAAAATTTTATCGCCCGCATTTGCACACAGCATTTCCCCATAATTCGGTAACCGCTATAGATTACGGTAATAAAATCAGAACAGACTAAATTGGTTGTCACAGATTCAAATTGGAACTGACACAACCAATGCATATAATTCATATATAAGGCAATCAAATCAAAATCTTAAAAGAACTGTAAATCTTCTAATGTAATCTGTAAATATTCTACTGTTCGTATGTAAACTCTTTTCATTGCTGTTGGAATAAATTATACATACTGTCTGATTGAATAAATGAATAAATGAAAATAAAATCATATTTCTGGATAAATTCTTCAAAGTATGAATTACCTCCGATGGTTGTGTGTCCGTGTTCGACGAATTTTGTTCTTTCAGCTCTTGTAGTTGATCCCGATACGATTCCGAATCAGTTTTTAAATTCTGATTTTCATCGAACAATTTTTCCAGGTCCGTTTTCAAGCTATTGTTTTGCTGTTGAAGATCTTCGACCATACTCTTGTTCTCATTTTTCAAATTCTCCATCGCTTGTTTCGTTTCGTTGACTTCCTCTTTCAAGGTTGAAACTTCGTTAGACTTTTCTTGAAGGTCATTTCTGATCTGGCTAAGTTCTTCCGCAGT